ATCTTTTCTTTTTAAGAGAGATTTTTGCTATGGGGCACATGAACTCACTGGAGAGACAGAGACATAATGTGAGAAATCACCCCCAGGGGGATAGCCATGCCCAAATCCCTCTCCTCTCAGTATCTCCATTCTCCTCTCGGGATCTCAGGCATACACACGTGTGCTCAGTTTGAGTCTTTTTCTCTTTTAGAGATATTTACTATAGGGCATGTGTGTTCGCCAGAAAGACAGAGAGAGACAGAGAGACAGAAAGTGAGAAATCACCCCCCAGAGGGAATAGCCACACCGCAGTCCCTTCTCCTCCATTCTCCTCTCGGGATCTTGGGCACGCACGCACATGCGCCTGGCATGAGTTTAAGCCACTGGGTCCAGGACTCGAACCATGTTCGACTACATGGGAGCTCAGCGACATAGCCATTATGCCAACGGCTGGTCCCTGGTGTGAGTCTTAAGTTTCCAGGTCCAGAACTCAAACCACAGTCAACCTCGTGGGAATCCAATGGCGTAACCATTACTCCACCTGCTGGTCCCTAGTTATTCCTCACCACGATGTTTCCAAGGAGTTATCACTGGTGGCAGACAGGCGGCAGAGCTGGGGTGTGAGCGCAGGCGTATTAAAGCCATCTAGTCCACTGTCCCTGTATACCACAGGCCTCCTTCCTGTTCCCACCTGCAATCATTTATGTGCTCGGCCGCTATTCTTCCAGAAGGTTGGGAATGAAGGAAAAAAAAGTAAAACTGAGAAACCAATGTTTTGTTGTTTAAAAATACAAGATTTGGAGTAAAGGGACTGAAAACATTAAGAAAGAATAGGGCCAGCAGGTGGTGTGGTGGTTGAGGGCACTGGACTCCCCACATGACTGACTGCAGTTTGAGTCCCAGACCTGGCGACTTGTTTTCTCATTCTCCCCCGTCCCTACTCTGTCCCTCTAAAATAAACAAATAAATAAAGTTAAATGAAATAATTCTTTTTTTTTTCTTTACAAAAAGAAAGAAAGAATAGGAGTTAATGATTAAAAATCAGATGTGGAGCCAGCAGGTGGTGGGGAGGTTAAGGCGGTTAGATCCCACATTGCCTGTTCAGTTCAAGTCCCAGACCCAGGGGCTTGGAAACCACTCCAAAATCCCAAGAAGAGCATGGAGGAGAAGGGGTTCCACATGGCCGTACCGTGGGAGGTGATTTCTCACCACCGCCAGGCCCTTTCTCTTCTCTTGTCTCTCTCTGGCAAGTGCACATAACCTACTGCAAAAACTAAAAGAAAAAAAGAGAGCGAGAGAGAGAAAAGAAAAGAAAAGAAAAAAATTTGGTTCTCATACAGAGGGGTTTGCTCTTCTCTCTTTTTTGTTTTACTGCGGATCGGTAATATTAAGTGGGAAAAAATGAGATCTTTTCCTTCTGTCAAATACACGTGAGTCTTTGTTTTTCCCAGTTAGGGGGATCACAGCTGAGCTATTTCCTCTGGTTTGGGGTGGGTGTGGGGCGTCTTGACTTTCACTGAATTTTCACCTACCAGCATCGCTACTTCTAGTTCTTGAAACTTTGCCTGGGTTTTCTTATTCCGTCACTTCACTTCTGCCATCCATAAAAACCATGCTGATCTATAAATAGTCCACTGGGACCAGCAGTTGGCATAATGGCTATGTCACTGGACTCCCATGTAGTGGATCGCGGTTTGAGACCTGGACCAGGTGGCTTAAACTCACGTCAGGCGCGTGTACGTGTGTGCCCAAGATCAAGAGAGGAGAATGGAGAAGAAGGGATTGCAGCATGGCCATCCCCCCTGGGGGTGATTTCTCGCTTTCTGTCTCTCTGTCTCTCTCTGTCTGTCTGGCGAGCGCACACCAAAAAAAAAACCCCCAAAAAAAAAAAAAAAAAAAAGCCCAGCAAGACTTCAAGCCATATAACTTCAGCTTTGTCCTCCCTGCCATTCACCGATCATTATTAAAAGGTATATTATTATTATTAAATCTGTTGTAGGGCACATGCGTTCAAGAGAGAAAGAGAGAGGGACCAGCAGTTAGCATAATGACTATGTCACTGGACTCCCATGTAGTCGACCGTGGTTCGCATCCCGGACCTGGTGGCTTAAACCTCACGCCGGGCGTGTGTGCGTAAGTGCCCAAGATCCCGAGAGGAGAATGGAGGAGAAGGGATTGTGGCGTGGCCATCCCCCCTGGGGGGTGATTTCTCACTTTCTGTCTCTCTGTCTCTCTCTGTCTGTCTGGTGAGCGCACGAGCCCTATAGCAAAAACCTCTCAAAAACAAAAAACAAAAAACAAACAAAAACAGAGAGAGAGAGAAAACGTGAGAAAACGTGAGAAAACAAGCTGACCAGTTTGGAATTTGAACCACAGTTGGCCATGTAAGAGTCTAGTGCATTAACCACCATTCCACCTGCTGGCCCCAGCAACCGTATTCTTAAGTTCATTTGATTTAAACACCAGCAAACATTTAGGGAATGACTGCTTCCCATCAGGTCTGGAAAAAGCTATTCTGAAGATAAAGTCCTCTTCTAGCCTGTAAACGATTTCTAATCGACTGGGACTAACGGGAGAAAACAGAATGGTTTACTTGAATACTATCAGGGTGTCCTAGGAAAATTGGCAGTATTTGAGTTGAGCTTTGAAAGATGAAACTAAGTAAGGCATGAGAGGCAGGGAGGAGGGGGGCTGGAGGGAACATTCCAGATACATACACACAACGGCAATGAAAAGGGCAGGCAAGCTCATGGGAGTCTCCCAGCACACTGCTGGCTGCAGCTGTTCCGAGGACTCTTTAACCTCACCCTCGGTCACGTGATGCTCTGCAGCTTGTCACATGCTTCCTAAAGATTCCTGCCAGCCAATAAAGTGTCCCTCCACTCTCTGAGAAAAACATTTTCTCTTTTCCCTGGAGAAATTAAAGACAGGCCACCTGGCCAGGGATGAAGACTGAATTGTGGACTGCAATCGTAAATTTAGTGTACTTTTTTTTTTTTTTTTTTAGAGGTTTTTGCCTTAGGACAGCTGCTTTCACCGAGAAAGAGAGAGAGAGAGAGAGAGAGAGATACAGATAGTGAGCAGGAAAGTGAGAAGTCACCCCCCCCCGGGGGTGGCCACTCTACAATCCCCTCACCTCTACTCTCCTCTCGGGATTTGGCACTCATGCGCATGTGCCCAGCGTGAGTTTCAGGCCTCCAGGTTCGGGACTCAAACCACAGTCGACCATGTGGGAGCCCAGCGATATAGCCACTACGCCATCTTCTGGCCCCGAGGGTATAAAATGTTTAGAGTCCAGGTTTTCTGGGTATAAATTAGGGTCTCATTTTCCTCGTGTATTAAAAGAAAATTAGGGGGGCTGGCAGGTGGCGTGGTGGTTAAGGGCGCTGGACTCCCACATGGCTGGATGGGATTCAAGTCCCAGACCTGGTCGCTTGCTTTCTCACTTTCTCTCTTTCTCTCTCTCACACACACACTCTGTCCTTCTCTGGTCAAATTAAAAATAAATAAATAAATAAATAAAGTTAAAGAAAATAATTTTTAAAAAGAACGAAAGAAAATTAGGATAACGATTCTTATTCTACTGACTTCCCGTGCTTATGTTAGGGATTTTAAAAGAGATGGTGGGTGTGAAGGGCATGGTTCCTTCGTTGCAGGGTTATTCCTTGTCTGCTCTGTGCCAGGCATGGCCCTCGGCTCTGGTGCCATGAATGC